TGGCTTTGCTTCACAGTTATAACTTGAATGAGTAAATGGTCGAGATGATTCCAGGATTACAATTACAATGGAGCATTGTAATGGTGACTGGGGTTGAGGTGGCGGGTGGGGGGGGAGTGTGGTGGGGTGGTGGGGTGGTGGGGTGGGAGGATGGGCGGGGAGTGGTGTAGGGAAGGGGGCGGAGCACATTAGCACCTGGACAGTCTCTCTGGGGCCCAGTTCAGGGCCCCTTGTGGACCCTTTTGTCCGTGACCGAGCACCCACACACCTCACCCAGAGCCCCTGGAACTCCCCGAACCATGCCTCCTCAGCGAGCGGTGTGCAGAGAGAGGCCTGGACCCAGGCTGGGGGAAGGCCAAAGCTGAGCTCCCTCATGGAGGGATGCTGGGACTTTTGAGCACTGGGTCTGTTGGTTTCCATACAGACACTCACACACTCACACGTGCACAAACATACGTATAAATAGCCCCCAAATCCATGTACACACAATCCCACAGACACAGTCTCACCTGCCCCGTGCCTCGCCTCTGAGGCTCCCCAGAGCTGTTCTAGGCCCAGACCCACTCCCCGAAGTCACACCCTGGAAGTTCGGGCCCTGGAAATGCATAGGGAAGGATTCCGATCAGCAGTCGCTTCCAGACTGCTGGAAGTCACTAGTGGGACATGGACCACTGAGGGAGATTGTTTGGTCTCTGACAATATGGAGTTAAGCGGGACCCACTTCACCTCCTGAAGGGCCTACAAGGAAGGGAGGAGCCCAGGCCTCCCTGCGGAGGTGAGATGCAGGCAGAAAGCCCCATAGTATTTCTCGGGCCAGCGGTTTCATGGGGATTGCCTAGGGATCTCGAGAAAATGACAGATTTCTGAAGTTTTGATTCATTGCCTCCAGGGTGGGGCTGAGAGCCTGATTTTGTCCAGCATGTCAGGCAGTTCTCCTGGTCCCTACTCTGAAGAGCTGCATGAGGGGGACAAAAACACTGTCGTCCAGGACAGAGCATGCCACACCTGGGGTTAGCAGGGACCTAGCCTAGCCCAAGGCATTGGTTTAGCCAGTAAATGGCTACTTGTATCCCACTTCTTTAGAGCGTGACACATGTGTTTGCCTGGACAACGCGCCCGTCCGCAGCTGGAGACGTTGTCTCCTCCCCACACAGGTTGCTGCTGGGATGGGGAGCACTCCTTCCCAGAATCCGAGCCCGGAGCTCCTCCCATCTTCCCAGCACTCCATCAGCCACTCAGGGTCACAGGGCAGCAACACTTTACAAAATCCACTTCTCAACATCTCCAAAGCCAAATCCCACAGTGACATTCAATCCTTCCTGGTGAGTGAGAAGAAAGTCCCTGATTCCCGGCAGGCTCCAAAGCACAGAGTGGTTAACAGTCATGAGCAAACAACATTCCAGGTCAGAGGCTCTCTCCACGACACATGATCTGACTGGCCCCTGGTGCTGGTCGATCTCTGACAGCCACAGAGAAGGGAGGCAGGATGGTCCCAGGCAGGAAGGGGATTTGAGGAATGAAATCTGGGCCTCCAGCTGGTATCCCAAGTCGCCCTCCACTGGCTTGGGTCATGGCTAAAATTGAGATCAGCAGAACTATAGGACTCCAAATAAAGATGACCCAGCAGGAGCAAGATCTTATGAGATCAGGATCTAAACTCAGGCTGAAGCCTGGGTCTTCAATGTTGTGAGCTTTGGTAGTTGTTTTCCTTCTGGCCTAGGAAGCAAATTACAGTTACACTGGCTGTGTCTGTACTTCCGTAAGAGACCGTTGATTTTTAGATGTAATTTAAATTCAGCGTTCCCATTTTGAGAACAGGGCATAGTTGCCATTCTAACTTACTCATACTGGCTTTCTATGGACTTGAAAAATAGGTGGTAAGTGTTTGGGTCACAGTTTGGACAAAATTCATTGACAGGTAACAAAAACTGAAAACAGTTCTCAGATCCTTTGCCCGTGAAATAGGCCCCATGTCTCTGAAACTCTGTATAACTCTTGGTTCATACAACTTTCAAAGGAAGAAGCCATTATAGACCAATTTACAGATAGGGAGACTGAGGCCCCGAGAGCCAACCCGCCACTCAGTGCATTAGTCAGGGAGCTAACCTCAAACCTCAGGCTCCCGCTTCCAAATCCTGATCTTCCCACCCGCCCAGCCGCCTCTCCTTCAGCCCTAACAGAGCGCACAGAGAGTCAGGCCTGGTTCTTCTCCTGGGCATGACTCCAGAGTCACCGCCCCAGTCCCACAGAGGTCTGAATAGCAGCTTCCTTTTCAGGAACGTTCTGAGGCATGACCTTCAGGTTCTTCCTCTTTGCAAGAGGCAGCAAAGGAAGACTCCAGCGAGGATGCATCTCCCAGTTCCCTGGTCCAAAACAAAACCAAAACCAAAATGAAACAAAAAACCCCGCCTGGGGATGCAATGGCAGAAATTCCCATTGCATCAGAGCAAACAACAGGCCTCGAGAGGATTGTGCTCTCTGGAGCCCCTAAGGTGTGTCCTTGGAGCACCTCCCTTCATCACATGCCTTGTGCAAGAGCTGTTAACCGTGGCGTGCTCTGCGGGAAAGGAAACTGCCTGCCCCTAGCCCTTGGGAGAGGGAGAGAGACCATGAATCTGTAATTTCCCTCTTGTTCCAGATCCTGGGAAGCCTGGAGGAATTGCGATTTCTGTCTTTGGACTCTGACGAGGGTCCGGCATCAGGAGATCGGGTCCGCCTTCCCTGGAGCTAATTTGCACGGCGCCCCACTTCTTGATGAGACGGCACAGGGAGGCAGGGACCTCAGTTCCAGGTTGCGTGAAGGACGGCAGCAAGGGGCTTCATTTAGAGAGAGGAGCCCTGACAACATGATCAGATTCTGGATCAAGGAAGAACAAGGGAGGAAGAATCCTGCAGGGGAATGGAAGGTTCCGAGCTTGTCCTGTAGCTTTCTCCTGCATTTCCCTGATTTAGGAGGCAATCTGGACATCCTGGGAAACCATCCACTTGAAATACATGCTTTAACTTCTGCCACTTTACAGCTAAAGATACTGTCCTTTATGCATGGTATAAAGGAGGGTGGATGTGACCCCACCCCCTTACATGAATAAGAAGGAATTACATAACGGTTATCTGTCTGGATTTTTTTTTTTAGGATTTTTATTTATTTATTTCACACACACACACGCACACACACAGAGTGAGCACAAGCAGGGGAAGTGGCCAGCGAGAGAGACGGAGAAGCAGGCTCCCTGCTGAGCAGAGGGCCGATGTGGGACTCAATCCCAGGACCCTGAGATCATGATCTGAGCTGAAGGCAGAGGCTTAACCGACGGAGCCAACCAGGCGCCCCATCTGTCCGTTTCCTCATTTTTGTCTTGGCTATGACAAAATTCAGGGTGTAACTTCAGTGCTCACTGATGGAACTTCTCTTGTTCGGGGTTGCTGTATGTGTATCTTCTTTCCTTCTAAAAAGTTTCTGGTCTTCCCTTTTCCATCTGTGCCTCCACACTGTGAGCAGCTCCCTATCCCTTTGGTAAGCCATGTGGGTTTGCACTGAAAACAGAACCATTCTGCTCGACGTCACAAAAATTCTCTTCCCTTTGTCCCTAGGGATGGTGCCTGGAGAAGAGCCTCGCAGAAGATTCAGTGACGGGACAGTCTGCGTGTGTTAGAGGCCAAGGACACAGGTCCTGTCACTGTCCCCCTGCCAGTGTCAAGGCCACCAGCATGTCCCCGCCCGGAGCTCCCCCTAAATATTGGGTGTTCTCTCTGACAATTTAGATGCGAAGGAAAGTACTTCTACAAGAATAGTTCATTAAGTGGAAGTGGCCCTTCGTCCATTCATAAATATTTTCTAACCTCATCTTGTGAATGGTGTACACTTGAAGCTGGAATTTACATTCCTCCCTCGGTTTGCTGCGTGGACTTATGTAATCTCAGCTCCACTTACTCTGAAGTTCCTGGAAACCATCCCTGGTCACAAGCAGGGCTGCTGGCTAAGACGGCAACAGAACCCTGCTCAGAGGGAGGTTTTTTTTTTTCTTTTCTTTTCTTTTCTTTTTTTAAAATATTTTATTTGTTTATTTGTCAGAGAGAGAGGGAGAGCACAAGCAGGGGAAGCAGCAGGCAGAGGGAGAGCTGAGCGGGGAGCCCGATACGGGACTCAATCCCAGGACCCTGGGATCATGACCTGAGCTGAAGGCAGAGGCTTAACCGACTGAGCCTCCCAGGCGTCCCCAGGGGACATTTTGTCTGGTGACCCGATGCTGCTGCATGATCTGACAGGGTGACGTCCATAATTTGAATGATGCTAGATAATTTGACAGGGTGTGAAACTTACCTTTGGGGAGTGTTTCTTCTTGTCTCTATAATAATGGACCTGTGGACTTAGGCTGGGACGAGGATGTCACAGAGGGAAGGGGAGGCTGAATGTGCCTGCGCTGTGGAGAGGGACACAACCCGCTCAGGCATTGCCTCGTCCGTGATGCTGGCATGCATCACAGTATCAAATGGGTGTCCTCAAGGTATGCAGGAGGGAAAGGCTGCCACTTGGGCAGGGTGAGGGGACTCCTGGAACTAACCCTTGTTACCCATGGGGGATACTGCTGGATGTTCTGGTCTGGGGGTGCAGCTCAAGGACAACCAAGCATAGCACCCACGTCCCGCAGGGCCGGGCTGACCATGGGCAGGCACAGAGGGCAGGAGACATTGGCATCCGTAGTGGCAACGCGTGGGAGAGAAAGAACGGCATCTCCTGAGGCTGAAGTCCACCGTTCTGACACAGAATGTCCCTCCACAGGTCTGTCTGGTGGGCTGAGGGGTCCTCACTGAGGAAGGAAGGGATTGACTTGACCATTTCTATGGCTGACTCTGACCTGTTGCTGTGCTCTTAGGCAGGACCAGAAACCCTCAGACTCTGCTGTCAACCTCTTCTTGCTTCCTCATTCCCAGACCCTTCCCCTTTATTTCCTTCCCATCATACCCCTGAAGGAATGAGTCAACATTAGGAGAGCCATGAATTCTCTTTCAGCAGGAGAGAACAGAGCAGGGAGGTCAGGAGGAGGCTGAGGTAGCTGCCTCCTCAGGCTGGGAATTCACAGACGGCCAGGTAGGGGATGCTGCAGGAGATGTCATTCCAGAGCCCGTCCTTCAGGATGGTCACGCAGTCCTCCCCGCTGGCATCGTTAGGCTCACCAGTCTTCCAGTTGCTGTAGGTCAGGCTCCCCCCTGTCACATACATAAACTGACCCTCCGTCACCTCATCCGTGATGCCCAGGAAGGCCGTTCTCTTGGCCACATCCTGGATGGCTTTGTTCTCTTCGGCATTCCTAGGGGTGGCCACAGTGCCCTGGAGCTCAGCACACAGAGCCTTCACTTTGGAAAAAGTCATCTCTTCACCATTGGTCACGTAGAACTTCTTCCCAGTCTTTTTGCCCAAGGAGAAGGTTTGCACTGAAATCACAATGGGTGGGAGAGGTTGACCGGGCTTGGGGTTCAGCCCAGTACACTAGGGGGGAAAAGCCTTGCTCTGGGAACTCAGGACTCGGAAAAATAGCCCCATGCTCAACCACCAGGTCAGATCCTAGTAAGGAAGCCCTCCTCAGCTGTAGAGCAAGCAAGTCCATGGCGGAAAGCTCACAGCCTCCTGGGAGATCCCACCCCGCATATGAACACCTGTCACAAACTGGCCCGGTGAAGGGGGTGGTCGGGCCGCCCTGCCGGGCTTGGGATCCAGGCATGCATGGATAGCCATCTGAGCCAAGGGGTTGCGGAAGAAAGAGGCAGGATTCTAGAGGAGGCAGACTTTCGCATCCAGTCCTTCCTTCACTACTTCCTAGCTCCGGGACAGTGAGGGAATTATTTGCCTTTCTAGGACTGATCTTTCCTCCCCTGTAAATTAAATGGGTCTAAGCCCTACAGATAGGACCAGTGAGAGAATTGAATGAAACCACACTCTGCGAGGGAATGCCAACCTAGCACGGGCCACGGGATATGGTAAGTGTTCATAAATGTTAATCCTTGTCCACCCTCCCCTGAAACTGAGAGCACGCCAGAAAAAGATGAGAGCCGAGAACGCCCTTGGGTGCCGAAAGCGAGCTTACACTTTTTGACACGGTCCAGTTCTGATTTCAGGCTCATTATCTCCCTCTCCAGGTTAGCCAGCATCGTCTCAGCAACTGCGAAGCAGTAGGAAGAAGGGCATTTAATGAGAAGACCGTTAGTTGGAGAGGAGAGTGTGGGGTGAGCTTATTGAAGAGTATGCTTAGTCTAGAAAAACAAGAAACCAAAATGAGGCAAAAGGAAGAAAACCTCTGGATTCCTACCTTCTGAGATACTCTTAGTAGCTTTTGTAAACTATTAACTCTGAACTAACAATAATAATAATAAATAACTTAAAAATTATGACTCTGGATCTTTTTGTTCACATAGTGCTTAAATGTTGCAATATTGTAACTATTTATAAGAAAGAGCCCAACTCATTATTCTCCCTTTTGAAAATTTTCCTTAATTATTCTCTTTCATATCTTATTCCAGGCAAACTTTTTAATACTCTTATAATTTTGATGGGCCAGCTGGTGGGTATTAACAAGAGGTCATCATTTTACTTTTGTTGGGACTGAATTTATGTCCTTTGACCTTGAATCAAGTTGCCATGACGTTCCCCATGATTCAGGGGTCCTAGGAAACCGACCATTTTCACGGCACTCTTCTGACCCTACACACAAAGCCGGCCACTGAGAGGACACCGCCGTTCCCTCCCAGCCTGGAGACACACACAGACTGTGTCTGCTGAGGAAGAGCCAGGGCCCGTCTCCCACAGAGCCCTGGGGAGGCAACAGCAGGGTTTGGAAGTCTGCCCTCGGGAGTAAGGGTCAGGGGAACGAGTGTAGCCAGTCGGGAACAGTTTGGCAACTTCCAATGGAGCAGGAGAATAGGAACCACCTCCCACCTGACCCTTAAGGCCCCAGAGCCTTGGGTCCCCTAGGCCCACACTGGGCTGGGGTGAGTTCCTTACCTGGACTATCTCCACAGTCTCCTTTGGAGCCCTTTAGTCCTGGAGGCCCAGGAACCCCAGGAGCCCCGATATTTCCTGGAGGCCCCATTTTTCCTGGAGGGCCCTGCAAACCTCGGAGCCCTTGTCCTGTTGAAAGTGGAAGGAAAAGTGACTCAGGGGCTGTGGCTCCTTCTCTTTTTCCAGAAGTTCAATGTGATTTACCTTGACCCCAGAGAAACTCCAGTAAGCCAGTGGTGGCCCAAAGAAAAAAGATTCTCCTGCTCTCCAGCCTGTGCTAAGGGCCAGTTCCCCGAACGGGCAGGACGTCTGCTCTCTACAAGTGACCACACATCGAGGATTCCCGTGTGGAAATCTGGGCTCCTGCAGAACCGGAGAATCATCTTTGTTTTGGAGGGAATGACCTTTCACAAGAATGAGCCTAAGTGAACGGTCATGTGGCTGTAAGTGGAAGATGAGTGTTGTCCTGTCTCTGCTAGACATCTTTTAGGGAACGGTCTCCCGTGGGGGGTAAAGATTTAGGAAGTCAGAGCAGCCTGCCCTGTACCTGGCTCGCCCTTTTCTCCCTTGGGTCCGTCCCGCCCGTCTCTGCCCGGGATGGCGCAGGTAATCACTGAGCACGTCTTCTGGGCATCGCCTGAGATTTCTGCTTCTGAGTTGGCTGCTGTCAGCACACACAGAAGGACAGGAAGTGATGAAAACAGGAGCATGATCCTGAACCTTAGGGTGGAGAAAGTCAGGGGAAATAATTCCATCTCCTCTTGCTTTGTCAGCCTTTGCTGACCCTATCCGCTGTGCCAGACCCTGTGCTCCGGGCAGGAGACCCAGAAGGGACCGTCACGGCTCTTGGCTCTGCATTACTCCCAAGCTACTGGAGAGACAGACAAGTGAAAAGTAGTAGAGGTAGTTCAGTGCTGAAACAAGGGTAATATAACAGTCGCACACGCAAGAGTGATACCCAGGGGCCTATGGATTCGAGCCTTGGGAAGTTAGGCCGCCCCCCATACATGAGATCCCACGAGGTCTGGTGATCACAAACTAACCATCTGCTTCTGTGGTCTGGCAGAAAGATGGAGAGCTCAGCCCCTGCGTAAGCTTTGGCTCCTCTTTCTTGATTCCCTTCTTGAGGTCCCAGGGAGCCTCAGTTTCCCTTTTCTTCCCTTTCCTATGGGCCCTAAAGTTAGACTCAAACTCCAGCAGGTAACCTGAGGTCCCACAAGACCCATTTCTCAGCAGGACCTGGCTTCTGACATCCTTTCTCTCATTCCACGTAAGAACTCTGTCCTTCACTCCGGGCCACGGCAGCCCCAGGTATCAGTCCTAGTTGTTTCCCTGTCAACCTGCCAATCATCTTGCGGCAAGTCTCTACCCTGCGACAGGCACTTGGGGGTGGGGGGTGGGCTCAGGACCCAGGGTGCCCTGAGGCAGGCTTCTGACTCTCAGAATAGAACCTCCTTTGGTCCTTGATCCTGGCCAGACGAGACAGATTTCTCCTTCCTTGGCTTGAGATTTTCCACTGAGAGGTCATTTTTGCCAGCCAGAACCCAGGCTCCTGAAATTTCGGTTCACGCTGGACCCGGCAGCCTGTCAGCTGCACAGTGCACCCCAGCTCAGTTTCTTCTCCTGGCGGGATCGTCTGCAGACTGCCCAGAGGCCTCCCCAGCTCTGTGCCCCGAGCCAGCAGTCAGATTACCAGTCAGCTTCATGCCCAAGCCAGCCCCCTTTCCAGAAGCTTGGCAGCCCAGCCCCCGTGGGCCTGTCTGGCCTCTCATCCCAGAGTCCCTGTACCTTTCTCCCTCACTGCTTCCTTGTCCTTGCCTTCCCCGGCCTGTCTGCTGCCTTAACCTTTCCTTTCCTGCAGGACACAGTGAGAAGTGTTGAGTTCCTTTTTTTTTAAGATTTTTATTTTTCTGACAGAGAAATAGAGAGGGAGCGCAAGTAGGCAGAGTGACAGACAGAGGGAAAGGGAGAAGCAGGCTCCTCACTGAGCAGGGAGCCCAACACAGGGCTTGATCCCATGACCTGGGATCATGACCTGAGCTGAAGGCAGCCGCTTAACCCACTGGGCCACCCAGGTGCCCCAGAAGAGAACTTTCTTGATCACTTTCATCTCCGCCTTTCTTTTTTCTATTTTCTTTTCTTTTCTTTTCTTTTCTTTTTTTCCACTTCCCCTGATCATCCTGGAGGCCAGGGTCAGAGCTTAAACATGTTGTTGGCAGACATAGCCCACTTCCATCTTTCCTTTGCCTGACAAGACCACCCTTTCATTTGCAGAAAGGTCAAATGGACCCTGAAAGGATATAAATGTCCCAGGTCAGATGGACACAGAGGCCCTGTGTGGGCCTGACCACCCCACCCAAGCCCCTGCTGGACCCTTGGCCCAGGCCTTTCCCTCCGTCCTCCAGAAATGACTTACTAGGGTCTCCTCAAAGCACGAGGGCTATGGTCGGGAAGCAGGTCCTCTAGCCCACAGACATCAGGCCCAATTAACCTTATGACCAGGGACAGCGCTGGACCGGCCTTCAACCCCAGATTAATCAACAACTGTCCTCAGAACCAATGTCTACTGGGGCGGCTGTCCAGCGCCAGTGCTGGGGTCTGCGGCCCAGCACTGGGCAGCTCACTACTTGAATAGCCCAAACGCCTCCTCCTGCTTGTCCCTCCCGAGTGTCCAGCTCTGTCCGTCTGATTCCCCAGAATCGTAGTCTGGACAATAGTCTCCCACCCCTAGATATTTATTTCTAGAAGAGACACGATTAGACATTCTACCAAACACACACTCATGCGCGAGCACACACATGTCCACACATGCCTACACGTATAGGCTCCCCCCTCCGCGTCCCCTGCTCTGACTCATTCAGCCCCCCCCCTCCAAACTTGTGTTTGGTTTACGGTAGGGATGGGGGCTGGGAGGGGTTAAACACTGAGTAGCCTCATTCCTCCCTTCTCCTTCACAACATTTACCGAAGGTACTCTTTTTGGATGAGGTGCAGATGTCCCAGGGTGAGGCCCAGGGAAGGAAGTACCTGGAGCTACTTAAAGTTCAAAGCTGGATGTGAGCACTTTCATGGAAGCTACTGCGGCCTAGGACACTTGTCTCTGTCTTTGCATGATTATTATCAATCACTTTGCAGTTCGACTATTCTCTCTGGAGAAAGGGCTTCCCTCTAATATTTAATTTTAAGTAGCCACTCCCTCATGTCTTTCTTTCTTTCTTTTTTTTTTTTTTTTG